GACCCTTTGGCCCAACTCGTCCATGCTGACCAGATATCCTAAATTAATCTAGTCCCATTTGCTAGCATTTGGCCCATATCCCTCTAAACCCTTCCTATTCATACACCCATCCAGATGCCTTTTAAATGTGGTAATTGTACCAGCCTCCACCACTTCCTCTGGCAGCTCAATCCATACATGCACCACCTTCTGTGTGAAAAAGTTGCCCCTTAGGTGCCTTTTATATCTTTTCCCTCTCACTTTAAACCTATGCCCTCTAGTTTTGGACTCCCCCACCCCAGGAAAAGATTTTGGTTATTCACCCTATCCATGCCACTCATGATTTTATAAACCTCTGTAAAGGTCACCCCTCAGTCTCTGACGCTCCAGGGAAAACAACCCCAGCCTATTCAGCCTCTCCCTGTAGCTCATACCCTCCAACCCCGGCAACATCCTTGTAAATCTTTTCTGAACCCTCTCAAGTTTAACATCATCCATCCTATGGCTGGGAGACCAGAGAGAGGGTCAATTTTTTTAGATATTAAATTCATCAAGGGGTACAGAGAGAAAGCTGCAATATGGCATTGAGATAGATGATTTGCTCTGATCATATTGACTAGCAGAGCCAGCTCGAAGGGCTGAATGGCCTACTGCTAGTTTCAATGATTCTATGAAATGGTCACCACATTTGTGTTCAGGTCCACTCTGCTGTTAGACACCATTTTGGATGTGGACATCAATGGTTCAATGTTGAGCAAAATATCACCGTTTGGGAACCAAGACATGGCGACTGTGGGAAAGAAACTGCATTTCCATAGTACCTCTCATGTGCTCAGGCACCCAATGCTTTCTGCGTGTTTTAGCTTTATTGGGAGTTTCCATGAGAAACATATATAAAGTCATAGAGTTATAGAATTTTATAGATCAGAAGGAGGCCATTCAACCCATCGTGTCTGTACCGGTTCCCAAAAGAGCTACCCAGCTAGTCCCATGCTCCAGCAAAACTCTGTATGCCTCTAAATTCATCACTAGCAAACATATCTCCAGCTCTCTTTTGAAACCTCTCCTGGAATCTGCCTCCACCACTCTCCCAGGCAGCACCATTCCAAATCCTAACAACCCTCTGAGTAAAGAAATTTCTCCTCATCTCACTCCTAGCTCGACAATCTTGAAATTATGACCCCTAGTTACTGATATAACAACTAGTGGAAACAAAATATCCTTCTTTACTCTGTCAAAAATGTTCATCATTTTGAATTCCTCATAAGATCACCTCTTAATCTTCTCTGTTCCAAGGAGAATAAGTCCAATCTCTCTAATCTTTCTGTGTATCTAAAATCCCTCTTCTGTGGTGTCATTCTAATAAATATCATTTGCACTCTCTCCAGGGTCTTAACATCCTTCCTTAAATAAGGTGGCCAGAACTGAACACAATACTCCAAATGTGGGGTCTGACCAATGACTTGTAGAGGTGTAGCATCACTTCCTTGCTTTTATATTCTGTGCCTCTATTTACAGGATCCTATAAGCTTTCTTATGGACTGTTTCAATTTGCCTGCCACCTCCAAAGAATCATGCATCTGAATCATGAGGTCCCTCTGCTCCTGCACTCCTCTCAAAATTTTACTATTGAGCCTGTGTTGTCTCTCCATGTTGCTTCTACCATGACACATTACCTCACATGTCTCTGCATTGAAATTCATTGCCGGGTGTCTGTCCATTTGGCCAACTTGTCAATGTCCTTCTGAAGTCACGCAGCATCATTCTCACAATTCACTATTTTCCCTAGCTCAGTATATCTGCTCTTTTAAAGATTTAGCCCTCAAGTCAGATCTGTAAATCATTTATATCAGTCAGAAAAATCAAGATTCCCAACACCAATCCCTGGGGAACACCACTTTCAACTCGACTCTAATCTGAGAAATGCCCACCTATACCCATCGTCTGTTTCCTATCTTTCAGCCAGTTTCTAATCCATGCTGCCAAGGACCCATCAAACCCAATATTTTCTAACTTGCCAACCGACCTGCCATGTGGCACCATAGCAAATGCTTTCTGAAAGTCCAAATATACGACATCTACAGCACTACCCTCATCCACTGGCGGTGTCACCTTGTCAAAGACCTCTGTTATATTTGTCAGACAAGACCTGCCCTTGACAAAGCCATGTTGACTGTCTAGTATTAACTTATTTTTCTCTAAGGGTATATTTACGTTATTCTATATAATGTCCTCCATCAGTTTTCCCACGATTGATGTCAGGTTGACAGGTCTATAGTTTTCTGGGTTATCCTTTGTCCCTTTCTTCAGCAATGGTGTCACATTTGCAATCCTCCACTACCCTGGGACTAACCCTGTGTTCAGAGAGGACTGGAAAGTTTCTATCAATAGTTCTGCAATTTGATCGCTCAACTCTCTCAGGAATCTAGGAAGCATCCCATCTGGATCTGGTGACTTCTCTACCTGGAGTGCTGCCAGCATTTTTTGGCACCCCTTCTTTATCTATCACTATACTGCTCAGTTCCTCAACACCCACTTTTACAACTAAGTCATTGTCACCATCTTCTAATTTGCTAAATACAGAAGCTAAATGTTCATTTATTGCCTCTGCCACATTCTTGTTCCTTAGGGACCCCACTCTATCTTCCAATAATCTTTTACTATTAATGTACTTGAAGAACATTTTACTGTATCTTTTAATTAAGCCTGCCATCCTTTCCTTCTGCTTCCTCTTAGCCTTCCTTATTCTAGCCTTAGCATCCCTCCTGCATTTGAGATACTCTTCCTGATTTCTATTGCTGTTATTATTCCAGTATGCATCATATGTCTCCTTTATCTTCCTTATTTTTGCATCAGTATCCTTAGTCAGCCAGTGTGCTCTTGCTTCAGATAGCCCATATTTACTTCTCATGGGTATGTACCTAGCTTGCACTCTATTCATCTCTCTTCAAATTCTCCCATTTTTCATCCACTGTTTTATCCACGAAAATTCGTTTCCCATTAATGCTCCAGTGCAGCTTTGAGATTTTTAAAATATGTCCTCTTTCAGTCTGGGATCTTAATCATTGACTGATGTTTATCCTTTTCCAACTTGATATTGAACCATATTGTGTTATGATCAGTATTTCTCAAATGCTCCCCCACTTTGATGTTCCCCACTTAATTTCCCTCATTTAAAAGAACCAGATTCAGCACAGCTTCCTCCCTGGTAAGACTGGATATGTACTGTTCCAGAAAGTTCTGCAGCACACGTTGTAGGAATTTGTCCCCTTCCATGTCCTAGACACTACCATTTTCCCAGTCTACCCTAATGTAACTAAAATCACCAACTTATCCACAACCCTACTTGTCCTGCAGGTTTCCATTATTTGCCTAAAAATGCTCTCTTCTACTTTCTTCCCATTATTTGGAAGTCCATAATAAATACCCACAAGGTCACTGCTCCCTTCCTGTTTCTCACATCCAGCCATATAGATTCTAATTCAGAAACTACATCTTGTTCAAGGGCAATGGTACTATCATTGACTAAGACTGCTACACCTCCTCCCTTTTTACCCACTCTGTTTCTCCTAAAAGCCTTACAACCCTGGATGCTAAGTATCCAACTTCCTTCTGGCTCGAGCCACATTTCTATCAATGCTACTATGTCATATTCCCCAGAGAAATATCTGTTCCAGTTCCCCAGTTTAGTTCATGATGCTCCATGCATTTACATACACACAATATAACCCTGCCCTTGTCTTTTATTTGCCCGTTGGAAGGTGACGTTTCTTTGTTTACTGTCAGTGCTCAAGCCTTCCATTACTTCCTTTTCTCCATTCACCATCTTTTCTCTCTTTTGCCCAAAACTAGGCCCATTTGTTAGCCCACACCCCTTGCTTTACAAGTTTAAATCCATCCCCACTACACTGAGGACTGCAATGATTCAGGAAGGCCATGTACCACCACCTTCTCAAGGGCAAATAGGGACAGACAGTAAATGCTTGCCAACCAGTGATTCTGAGGAAGGGTCACCGGACCAGCGTTAACTCTGTTTTTTCCTTCACAGATGCTGCCAGACCTGCTGAGCTTTTCCAGCAACTTCTGTTTTTGTTCCTGATTTACAGCATCCGCAGATCTTTCGGTTTTTTTTTGTTAGTCATGTACATTTCCCTCAAGTGAAAAAAAAACTATTTACTCTCTTCACCAGGAGATTAGTGCCTTTTCTGCACAGCTCAAGCCTACCTCTTCTGAAAGGCTTTCTCCTTTTCCAAAAGTGAGTCCAATGTCCCAAAAAATCTAAACCCCTCCTTTCTACACCATTCCTCAAGTCCCACATTTACCTCCCTGATCGGCCTTTGTCTAAGTGGTGAGGCTGATGGCACAGGGAGTATTTCTGAGATTACTGTGCTGGACGTTCTATGTTTCAAACCACTCCCTAACTCCTGAAATTGATCCTGCGTGACCTCCAAGCTGTCCCTCCCTATGTTGTTGGTTCCCACATGAACTGCAACCCTGGTTGTTCGCCTTCCCTTTCCAGATGTTTATCCAGCCATTCTGTTTGGTCCTGAGCCCTTGCACCCAGGAGGCAACAGGCCGTATGGGACTCACAAACTCATGATCAAACTAAACTGCCTACCCCTCGGACTATTAAGTCACCCGCTATTACTACCTTACTAACATGTCTCCCTAGCTCTTATCCCAGAGTAGCTGTGCACCACGCTACTGTGATTTTCGCTCGAGTCATCCACTGTCCTGTTGTTCACTAAATAAGTGTCTGAAATTTCATCCCCTTTAAATAGTTCCAAGCCGTCCTGGGTTCATGGACCTTCTTTCCTGTTGCCAAATGGTCAGCCACTCTCCTGCCATCTCTACACTCCTCGTTACCAAATTAGAGTGACCACTGCTTGGTCTGACTGTGCCAGGAGCCTCTCTCCTTCTTCCATGGTGCATAGTGAGGAGAGATGCAGCTCCAAATGTTGCTCAATGACCTGTTGGCCTCATTGCCGAGCACCAATCCTGCTCTCCTGTTTCACTCCTAGAACTTGAAGAATCCCATCTGAAGTATCCCCACTGTTGGTATTACTTTTCCCAAACCCTTCTCATCTGGAACTGCTGCCCATTGTGGATAAAAATGAAGAAGATATTGAAATATATCATGATGGATCCTTTCCTGGACCTGGCGATCACCATCTGTATCGTCTTGAACACCGTGTTCATGGCCTTGGAGCACCGACCCATGTCCGAGGAATTTGATAACATGCTGTACGTTGGGAATCTGGTAAGGAGCCAATCATATTTTACTTTAAGATCATCACCAAAGGAATTTTGAAAATTTAAGATTTAAGTCTGTGTTTTTGTGCATCTATGCCTATGTGTGTGTGTCTGTGCCTTTGTGTGCCTGCATCATTGTGTGTGTGTGTTTTCATATCTGTATTTGTCAGTAGCTTTGACTGTATGTGTATAAATGTGTGTGTATGTGTGTAAGTGTGTTTGTGTATATATCTGTGTATGTGTCTGTGAGTGTGTGCCCGTGTGCACATTTGTCTGTGTTTGTGTGTCTATACATGTGTGCGTCCGTATGTGTATTTGTGTGTATGTCTGTGTGTGCATATGTGTGTATCTTTCCTTATGTCTGTGTCTGTTTGTCTGTGTATATGAGTCACTATGTGCAAGTGTCTGCATGTGTGTCTGTTCAGCTGTGTGAAGGTGTTTTCAAGAGTCTGTGTGTGTGTATGTTCATGTCTTGCTGTGTGTTGTGCTTGTATGTTCCTATGTCCATGTGTGTCTGCATCTGCACATTTGTGTGTGAGTGTGTGTGTGTCTTTCTCTCTCTATATATATGGGTGGGGGGGGACATATTTTGTGAAGGGATGCATTTTCTGTGCATTCATGTCTATGAGTAAATACTTTAGTATTTATGCAAGTGTCATTGTGTGAATGTATTGATATGTGCATTCCCTTGGGTATGTGTGTTTGTTTAGGTGGTTTAACATAAATAAACATACAGACACACATACACATACGGACACAAAGGCCCACACACATACACACACACACATAGACACACAAATGCATACCCACACAGACATGCACACTCACAGACATATGGACAGACACACACATAAATACAAATACAGACACACATACACACACACATACACATATGGACACAAAGGCCCACACACATGCACACACAGACACACAAACAAATACAAATGCTCACCCACACAGACACGCACACTCATAGTCACACACACAAAGCACACATACAGATATGCACACATAGACACACAAACATGTACAAATGCTCACACACACAGACACATACACACTCACAGACAAATACACAAAAACACATGCACAAACACACACATCAGATGAAAATCAAGAGGAAGGAAATCCAAAGAAATTGCAGCTGATTTGGCGAACAGAAACTGAACAATTAGACAAACAATTGGATACTGAGAAGAAAACAGAAAAGATGGAATACTGAACCAAAAATACCAAAGCTATTGCAGCAATTTAATATCAATATATATCCAAGGGATTGCTGACTCTTTGCAAACAGCACACAAAACAATACTTTTCACTGTATTTCACTACACGAGACAATAATAAATCTCATCTATGTTGTTGGTAGCTATGTATGTTGAGATATATCTCTATAAGTTTATTGGAGATGAGCCCATGTCAGTGTGTACATATGTGTGTGACGTTAAGGATCAGCAGTAATATCGGACAATTATTTAGTGAGCTGGAATCACCATCTACTCCGAGCAGCTGTTAATGGTTGCTCGAGTTTGGCAGCATTTAAACCCTTTGAACTGGAGAGATTTGTTTGACTGAGAGACCCTGAGCATGAGTGAATCGCATACATTTTCAACTAATGCAAATCACATGGGTAACTTTATCATTTTGGGCTTTCTCTGCTCTTGGCGAAACGGGGAGGTGGGAAGTGAGAACAGGAATGGCCTTGGTGAAACCCAGGAGAAAATTGTGCTCTCTCCACAAACACGTACCCGATGCAAATTTGCACGCTAGAGAAGAGAGTCAATTACATATTCAATTACGCTCCAGAAAGCCATCACTCAGCTCGACGTGTCGACATCAATGTTTATCCCTGTCCGTCACCCTATTTTTTCTTATTTATTCATGCAATGTGGGCACCACTGGCCGCGCCAACATTTATCACCCTCCCCAGTTGCCCTGGAGAAGGGGTGGGGAGCTGCCTTCTTGAACCACTGCAGTGCTTAGGGGTCCTGGACTGAGTGCTGTTAGGGAGGGAACTCCAGAATTCTCACCAGGTGAAGGGACATATCTCCAAGTCGGGACAGTGTATGACTGCAGGGGAACTTGCCAATGCTGGTGCTCCCATGTTTCTGCTGCTTTTGACCATCCGGGTGGCAGAGGTTGTACGGTGCTGACGGATGACCCTCGACGAGATGCCATAGTGCCACTTGCAGGTGGTATACACTGTTGCTGCTGGATGCCAGTGGTGAAGGGTGTGTATGTTGAATGTGGTGCCAATCAAACGGGCTGCTTTGTCCTGGATGGTGTCGAGCTTTTTGAGTGTTGTTGGGGCTGCACTCATCCAGGCAAGTGGGGGGTGTTCCATCACACTCCTGACTTGTGCCTTGTAGGCGATAGACAGGCTCTGGGGAGTCAGGAGGTGAGCAGACTCCTACCCTTACTTCATCCAACTTCCTGTGCTTCATTCATGCCACATGGGTGTTGCTGAAGGGGCCAGCACTTGTTGCCCAGCTCTAACTTCCCTGCAGAATCACAGGGCAGTGCAAAAGGAGGCCTTTTGGCCCAATCTACTTGTACCAGCTCTCCAAATGAGCATTGTTATCTAGTGCCGATCTCCTGCCTTTTCTCCATATCCCTGCACACTATATCTATATCCAAATTATCATCCAATGCCCATCTTGAATGCCTCAGTTGGATCTGCCTTCACCACATTTCCAGGCAGTGTGTTCCATACCCTAACTACTCGCTGAGTAAACAGAAACTCACATTATCCTTTCCTCACTTGCACATCACTTTAAACCTATACCCTCTCGCTCTTTTACAAAGTGGTAGTGAGCTGCCCTCTGGAACCGCTGCAGTCCACATGCTGTAGGTAGACCCACAATGTCCTCAGGGAAGGAATTCCAGGATTTTGATCCAGTGACGGTGAAGGCGATATATTTCCAAGTCAGGATGGTGAGTGGCTTGGAGGGGAATGTGCAGGGGATGGTGTTCTGCTGCCCATGTCCTTCTCAGTACCACATGTGCCATTGTTTAAGGTGTTAGATGGGGTGCAAGTGAATGGGGCGCTGTTTTGTCCTGAATGATGTCCTGTCTGAATGGTGTTGTTGGAGCTACACTTATTCAGGCAAGTGGGATGCACTCTATCACATTTGTGGATGGAGTAGAAGCTTTGGAGAAGCAGGAGGTCAGCTCCTCACTGCAGAATTCCCAATCCTTGTTTTTGTGGCTGTAATTCATGTAGTTGTATTTGTTCATCCAACTTTTCTGTTGATTGTATGTACACCACTCGCCTCAATCATTCCATCTGGCCAGTTCCACGGTCTCACCCCATCCAGGAGAAATGTGAAATGAAAGGTCAGACCTTGTTTCACTGTGTTCTCTGCTGCTACCTCCTCTCCCCAGACCGTCAGAGCTCTCAAATAGTCAAGGATCCTTTAAGCAGCTGCCAGAACTGGGACAGAAGCACTCAGCTGCTCCAGTGTGAAATGAATGGCCTTAGCCACGGCTATTGAAGCAATTTAATCTCAAGTCCCAAAACGTGTAGTGTGTTGTGATAAGAGTAGCAAGTGGCAGCAGAAGTGTGATTCGACAGCGCTGTCCAGGCCACTCCTTGGCTGGCCCTATATTACAGCTACATTGTGTGGTCAGGCTGTCTGAGGAGAAACCCTAGCCTTTTTACTCAACTTGCTTTGAGATCTCGAATTCTGGCCTCTTGTGCAAATGAGTGTATACGTTACTGTGTGTATTTCTGTATGTGATTGTGTGTGTGAGATTTTGCATACGCCCGTGTGAGCGTGAGAGAGATAATATACCTGTCTGTCTGTAATGATGTGTGATGGTGTGTCTGTCTCTGTGTGAAATTGTATAAGTTTATGTGAACTTGTATGTCTGTTTACGTGTCTGTAATAGTGTATCTCTGTGCATGACTGTGATGGCATGTATGGTGGTGTGTCTCTGTGTGTGAACATGTATGACTGTCTGATGTGTGTGTATGTTTGTGTGTGGCTGTGATAGTGTGTGTGTGCATGTGTGTCTCTCTGAGTGATGTGTGTGTGTAACAATGTGTTTGTGTGATGGTCTCTGTTTGTATATGTCTGAATTGTGTGTGTAATGGTGTGTGCGTCTATGATTGCCTGTCCTTGTGTGTGTGTATGTGTGTGTGTGTGTGTGTCTGTCCGTGTGTGTGTGTATGTGTGTGTATGTCCGTGTGTCTGTGTGTGAGTGTGTGTGTGTGTGTGTGTGTGTGTGTATGTGTGTGTGTGAGTGTGTGTGTGTGTGTCCGTGTGTGTGTGTGTCTGTCTGTCTGTCCGTGTGTGTGTGTCCGTGCGTGTGTGTGTGTCTGTGTGTGTATGTATGTATGTGTGTCCATGTGTGTGTGTCTGTGTGTGTCTGTGTGTGTATGTGTGTGTGTGTG